GGGGGGGGGGGGGGGGGGGGGCTTTCCTGCACAGCTAGCTCCTATAGCCTGGCTTCTCGGCTCTTCTCTCCCCTGGAAGGGCCCAAGCAGCAGCGCAAGAAGGTGACGTCGGTGTTTGATGTGGAGCTCACCAGCACAAACAAGAAGGCCCTCAAGCAGTATCGAGCGGGGCGAGTATTGCTGTCCTGCCCTTGCGACTCCCTCCCTTCAGTGGGCTGTTTGGGGGGCTCTGGCTGGATGATGGTTCTCCTCCAGTGTCTGGGCCCAGAAGCCCAGGCGGGGGATGGGTTGCGAACGGGCCTGGCTGGGAGACCACGAGGGAGGAGACCAGGCAGGGGAAGACCAAAGCCCAGGAGGCAGCAACGGGGCGGGGGGGGCGGTGTCACTAGGAGCGAAGCTTGGCTTGGAAGCGTCTCCTCCCCCACCCCCACCCCCCACCCCAAAAAAAAGAGCCCTGGGCGGTTCAGAGGAAAAGGCCGCCTTGTCCGCTTGAGGTCCCACTGAGGGCGATGCTTTTTCCCTCTCCAGGCCTTCCTTTGAGGACCGCAGGCGTCTGGGCCTCCCGGATAGAAGGAAAGGGGGAAAATTTAAAACCAAGTCCAGGTGAGTCTCCCCTACACCCAGTCTCTGTGCGTCTCTGTGTGTCTCTGTCTCTCCCTCCCTCCCTAGTTCTGAGATCCTGCTTGCTTGCTTGCTCTTTACGCAGGTACAGGCGGAAGTGAACGCACCTGTGAGCCGGGCTGCAGAGGCCTCTGCGCAGCGGCCCTTGTGGAATTCGGGATCCCTCCACATTCGCTCCCCTTGCAGGAGCCTAGCAGTTGGAAAGGAGCCGTGCCCAGAAAAGCCACCTGGCTGCTTTAGGACTTGGCTGAAGACCTGGACCTGGTCAGAGGGGCCTCCCTCGGGCGTCTCTGAAGCTTCCTAGAAAGGAAGACCTTGAGACCAAAAAAACCAACTATGTTGTTGACGCAAGGCCTGCCTAGCTAGGGAGCCCGAGAGGGTGGTGTGTGATCTTTACCTAACAGCTATTAAAGGAAGCTCTGACATTGGCCTGAAAATTCCAAGAACTCAAAGGCTCAAACCATTACTCACTAAAAGGTCGCTCTTACTAGTAGTAACCATGAGGTACTCTGCTAAAATCAGCAGGGGGAAGCTTAGAAATGCTCTAAGGGGCAGGGAGCATGGTCCTTATCCTTGCTCTCGATGGGTCCTGGCGTTGGAGCCATGCCGTTGTGCCCGACTATGGTTTGCAGCTACCAACAAACTGGAGACCCTCCAATGACAAGTTGTTTAGGATTCCTGAGGTCCTTCCTGCCTTAATGGAGCAGCTGGCACTTTGGGCGTTCACACTCCTTGTACTCCCAGGATCAAGGCTGTGGTTGGGATGGAGCTGCTTTCATTACTACAGCTGCCACTTTTGGGCAGAGGTGTCTCTGTCTCCTCCTCCTCCTCCCTGCCCCCAGCCATTGCCACCTCTTGCCCACTGCCCAGCCAGAGGACCCGGCGTAGCCCCACAAGCCCCTACAACACAGAAGCAGGCAATCAGCTGTCCCTGTCGGTTGCTGGAAATGCAACTCAGGCTGGAACATTTACTGACATGCCAAAGGTTGGGGTGAAATCCACAGGACTCTTCACCTGGTTTTATGGCAAGCCGAAGATGCCAGCCTTCTTGGCTATTTCTTCAGTATTTGGAATTGATCAAGAATCGTGAAGTTTCCAACTATGGCAGCACTCCAAAACATTGTTAACTGGAAGGATAAACCCACACTTAATTGTGTAATGTTCAGTGATTGATGTAGGTTGCTTATTAAATGCTGTGGCTTTTACAGCAGCAAAGCAACATAGGTTCCTGAGGAATTTGATCAGCGGAAGAGGCGTTCGGCTCAATTTAATTTCCCAGGGTTTATGGGGAACGTGTCCCACTGCCGAGAGCTCTAGCCAGTGTGGATTGTGCAGTGGAACACCTGGAGGAGGATTGTGCGCTGGGCATTGTTGGCCCAGGAAGTATCAGGGCTAGTGGGCTGCACTGGAATTCTATTCCTATGACAAAACCTAAAGGCTGATGTTGAGGTAATTCCCCGTTAGGAGAATGAGCGCATACTGGGAGACGTATAGAGAGTAGTGTTTGACTAATACACACACAGAACACACATACACTGTACAGTAAATGTAGGGTTTTACTTTCAGTAAAGGTTTAAGCAAAGTCCAAAGTCATTCACAGGTAAGATCAGTCAGTTTTTAGTCCAGGGATAATCCAAATATCAAAGTCCAGTGTCAAAAAACAGTTCAGTAACAGACTTACATTAAATCCAGAAATATCAGTCAATTAGGAAAAATGGAGGAACAGCAATACTTTCCAACAGAAGGGAACAGAGATTCACTCTCTTCTGAGTCGAAGACTAAACAACCCAGGTTTCTGGCTCCATCTTATGGCTGTTTGAGAGACCACACCCAATTACAGTTTTGCATTTTCTTAAAGATAAAGAGTTTTAAAATGTTTATCCTGGTTTATATATTTCTAACCCAAATAGCTGTTAGGTGACTCATATTCCTAACAGCTGAGCTGTAAATAAATCTTAAGTTCTCCCACCATAAACGGACTGATTTAAGGATCAGAGTTTCAGCCAAGGCTTTGTTCACTTCCTAACTATAAGCACCAAGGTAACATCCAGAATTACTCTGGTGAAAGTCTAGCCGTACCTGTGGTTGCACCCATATGGAGAACTGTGGAGGGAGAGCCCTGACAGATTTTGTGGGTGCTTAGCAGAAACCGCTGGGCCTTCAACGTGGGGCTTCCATACCATGAAAATGCTGCTTGTTTTGACACCATGGAGCTCTCTGGGCTTGGTTTCCTTGCAGTCATTTCCATGTTCAGTGAAGACGATGCCTAGTTGGGTCACGAAACATTTACAAGAAAGCCACCAAGAACAGAGAGCACCAAGGACCCCCTAATTTCAACCCTGAGACGATGATCTGTGAGAGTTTTGACACTGCTTGGCCTGAGACTGGCAGTCATTCACCCCAGGCCCACTTCTCTCTCTTTCAGGCTCAGGTATTTCTGTACCTATCACTTTTTCAAAAGACAGATGGAAAATATGACATAACCGTCATGTGGAGTTTGTTAATTTACAGTTTTAAAGTGGAATATGTGTCTGATCCATTCAGTTATGACTTCCAAATGTTCTGAACCAGCAGAGACCCCACACTGCTAACATACCATGGGTGATGGAATTGAGAGCCAAATAGTGTTGATTTCACTTAATGTGGTGAACTTGCCAGCACATGGAGGCAAAGACCTTTTCTCCTAGCCTCTTTAACAGGAGTTGGAAGGAACCTTGGAGATCATCTAGGCCAGGTCCCCATCCCTCAGTTCGTGGCATGCCAGCAACTGGGTTGTGCAAACGAAGCCCCATCCATGGGATGCAGGCAGCATGCCAAAACCACTCCAGTCTGCAGAAAAACCTTTATCCATAGATCTGGTCCCTGGTACCTCAAAGGTTGGGGGTTATAGCTGCAGATCTATTATGCAGTCCAGCTGACTGGAATAGGGAGGTGACTGAGGCTGTGGATAGGATTGCACCCTTGCGACCTCCTCACCCGTAGACCTCTCGGTGCCCCGTGGTATAAAGAGGAACTGAGGGATGAAACGCATAACATCTGGAGCACCGCTGGCGGAAGACTGGAGATGAACTCGATCAAACATGGGTGAGAGCTGCTACTAAGGCCTGCCTTGGGGTGATTCCTGAGGTGAAATGTAAATCTTTCTCCACGCTCATTGTGTCTGCAGATAACCGCCCAGCGACCCTCTTTAAGGTGAGCCACTGTTAGGTATAACATTGATACCAAATATGGTTTGGGTGAATAAATATATAAAACTTAGATATCATGGTTTAAGTGCTTATCACTTTAAGCAAAATGCAGCAGGCAATTAGCCGATTAAGGGTGCGGTTAGAAGTTACAATATAAGGAAGCATTAGAAGCTGGAAAGCTTACTGTCTGTAACTGTGTCTTGCTGTTACTGTGTTGCTGCTGCGATTAACTGTGTCTTACTGCGACTAACTGAGATTACTGACTGTGAGTGCCTGTGACTGAACTGTTATTGTTTGCTACTGTTTGATGATTTACTGCGTAATTCTACTGAATATCCAGCGTTTGTTTCTCTGGAGAGTGAAACCGGAGGAGGAGAAGATATCTTTATCGGCTGATAAAGATATTGCAAGGACTCTTAACTTGGACTATACTAGTGAGTCTTACTGGATGGAAATACTGTGAATGACTTAATGGACTGAATGACAATGCTTAAACTCTAACTGGATTAAAAACTATTTAAACTACAAACAGTGTTTGTGTTCAGTGTGTGTATACTCTGGGGCCCTTCCGCTCTCCTTTGGCTGCCTGGTTTGACTACTGCTGCAATACTCTTCTAGGGGTTAATCCTCAAAACCCTAACAGCCACCGCCTCCTAGAGGAGATTGAGGTCCACCTGAAGGGGCGCACTGAGGAATTTGTGGGTTTTCTGGAAGACAAAATCGCTCGACTTCGTTCCCAGTTAAATGCCGGTGTGGTTGCTGAAGCTCCTGAGGCAGGTTCTTGCCCTGTTATCGGAACGGTTTGACCCTGTTGCTCCTGAGGAAGTGGACAGGATCCTAGGGAGTATGCGCACAAACACCTGTGTTTTAGACCCATGTCCCTCCTGGCTTGTGAAAGCTTCCCAGGTGACAGGCGGGTGGACTCTGGCGGTGGTTAATGCTTCCCTATAGGAGGGGACGGTGCCCCAATACTTTAGGGAGGCTGTGGTCTGCCCTCTTCTTAAGAAGCCATCACTGGACTCACCCGGTTGGATAATTTCTGACCTGTCTCCAATCTTCCCTTTTGGGGGAAGGTTGTTGAGGTGGCCGCGCAGCAGCTCCAGAGGTTTCTGGATGAAACGGGTTGTCTCAACCCCTACCAGTCAGGATTCAGGCCTGGATTTGGGACAGAAACAGCATTGGTCGCACCTTTGGATGATTTCTGGCGGGAGCAGGATGGCAGTAGTGCATCCATCCTTGCTCTACTTGACCTCCCAGCTTTCGATACCATTGACCACGGGGATCTCCTGGGGCACCTTCGGGGATGGGAGTGGGAGGCCTTGCGCTGTCTTGGTTCACTTCCTCTGCAGCTGCTCTCAGTCAGTGTTGATAAGAGGGGAGAGATCCAGCCCTCACCCACTGCTTTACAGGGTTCTGCAGGGCTCGCTACGCTCCCCATGCCTGTTCCACATTTATATGAAGCCACTGGGTGAGATCATCCGTCACCATGGACTGAGGTATCACCAATATGCTGATGAGACTCAGCTGTATGTCTCGGCCCGTGGTGAGTTAAGTGTTGCCATGTCCTCCCTCTCGCAGTGCCTGGAGGCTGTTAGGGGCTGGATGGGGAGCAACGGGTTGAAACTAAACCCTTACACGACTGAGTGGCTCCGGGTTTGAAGTTCGTTGGCTCAGGGAGAATTACCATCTTTAGTCTTGTATGGGGTAGCACTGCCCCAAACAGACCCTGTGCATAATCTGGGGGCTTTCCTGAACTCACGACTCCTGTTCGAAGAGCAGGTGGCAATCGTGGCCAGGAGGGCCTGTGCAGCCCCCAGTGTGCACATGTGCCACCTCTCCTGCAGGAGCTGCCTTGGCTGCCGATTTGCTTCCGGGTGCAATTCAAGGTGCTGGTTGTCACCTTTAAAGCCCTTCGTGTCTTGAGACCAGGTGATCTGAGGGACCCTCTCTTGCCGGTCACATCTACCCGACCCATCAGAGCGAGGAGGCAGGGAATGTTGCGGGTCCCACCCCTGAAGGAGATACATCTGGTGGGGCCCAGAAGAAGGGCCTTCTCCGTGGTGGCTCCCTCTCTCTGCAACATCATCCCCCCAGAGATTAGAACGGCCCCCACTCTAGCACTCTTTTGGAAGGCACTGAAGACCTGGTTTTGCCAGCGGGCCTGGGGAACCCAGAGTGGGATGGAGCCCATCAAATGGCAATTATGATCTGCTGTCATCGGGGCAGGAGGAGGGAGGTGATTTT